TTAAATAAAGAACGATCTTTTAAACACTTCTTGAAGAGCTCGTTAGCTTAGCGGGAAAATAACGATCACAGTTTCCAAACAAAATAATCCTCGGAACACTGAAGGAAAACTATCTACACAAGGCCATAACCTTCAATATTTTGCTGTTGTAGACAGAATGAGAACATTATGGAAAACGTTTTAATGTTCTTGAAAAATGTATGATTTTTTTAATCTTGAAGGTGTGATTTTCTTTAAATATTATTTTAACAACCCTTTCGCGCAGTTGTAGAGCAAATGATCTTTCTTGTCCCACTGTGCCTCCCCCACAACAGTGGGTAACTTCTCCTTCCGCCTCGGTCCGCACACGTGTGTCCATTCATTTATTTGGCCAGCGATGGCATGTCCTGAGTGTCCTGGCCCGACATGTCCTTCGACTGATGTCAGAGAAGCTTTTAGTGGCCACAAATCAGAGCGGGCGAAATTCTTTTGGCAAACAAACCGAGATTATTCAAGCGCCCCAGCTGCGCGAACAATGACGTTGTTTGCCTAGTTTTTACAAGGGGGGCGTGGCCAGAACCAACCCGTACCGCCCCCGAAAATATATACCAACATACACACAGACACACAAGAGGCGCTCATTATGATTTTCCCCCCGGGGGCATTATTCATTTATGCATTGCCAAAGGCGCGTCAATAAAAATTTTCCCGCTCATTAATTTTTATTGCATACTTTTTGGGGCTAGAACCAAGTCCTAACGCTATTGCGAATAAATATATATATATATATATATATATATGTATGGGTTTGTGTGTGTGTTAGCAATTAAGCCGAACAAGGCCACAATTTCGAGCCTCAAGGGCTGGAAAGTTTAATTAAACGGGGCGGGCATAACGATTATGATCCCAAATTCGGGCTGTCCACCATAATGAGACCACCGCTGTTGCACTCTGCCGAAATTCGCCTTCCATTAATATCCCATTGAAGTTGCAACTAATTAAGCGTGGCACAAGCGGCACAAACGGATGCCGCATAAATGGTTTCCCATTAAAAATTAATCGAAACACACGCTCGTCGACCTTGTGGCGTGGTCACATTGAGGATCCGTATCCGTGCGATTTCGTGCATGTTAAGCTCACTTTTGGCCCAATGCCAGGGCCAAATTGATGGCCAAAACGGAATGACAACACATCAAAAGAGCACTTGTCGTAAATCATTCAAAATCAAGCCAAAGCGTTCCTCGCGTGCCATATTTCACACTAGTTTTTTACGATCCCTCCATATATTTTAACATCATTTCTTTCGTATCTATTAAATATTTTTTTTTTTTTTTATGGTAACTTGTATTTTTTTTATTACCCATATATTTATATATTAGGGCTTGTATGGGGAATACTTGCAAATATTTCATTTTTATTTTCCACCTGTAACAATTTGTGGTTACCTTAGGTAACCTCGTAAGACATAAAATCTCTACTTTTATATTATTTTATTAGCATATGGTCCAAAATCACTAGAGTAGCCTAAGTCTAAGCTAAGCTTTGGCTAAAAAAATGTATTTGTATGGCGGAAAATCAGTCACAAAATATATTTGTAGTATGGACACTTAAGTACCCTTTAAAATCAGACAAAAAACAACAATGCCTTCAATAATTTTATTCTATTCAGGACAAAAGGCTAAAGACCTTACCAAAATATAACTTGTATTATTAATGAAGCATAAAATTAAAATAAGCGGTATTCATAGTGAATATACCCCTTGCAATGCTAACCAAAGGACATAAAACAAGTGCAAGCTGGATATGATTTATGTGGCTCACACTCAATTGCCATAATTTAGATGCAAACGACAGAAAGGCAGGGAAACAGACAAAAAGAAAAATAAAATACCAGAGTGTGTGTGAGGTCACGTTTTCACGCAAAAAAAACCCCAGGAAAAGTGCATTCGGAATGAGAATGAAATATAGGGCAAAAAAGAAAAGGGGCGGATGCCAAGGGAAAATGTCTGAAAAATTCTTGCTCATCCAGCCTGAGTTTAATTGAAAATCAGGGGGGAAATGGCTTAAAAACCGGAACTGGCTTTAATGCACGTTGTAGGCAAATTTTAGATGACATTTCAGAGTATTTCTTGAGCATATCACATGTTAAGGTAAACCTTTGTTTGTCATTTGCATAAAAATTGTAAAATCACTTGCTAAGTTGTATGCGTAAATATTCTTTGAATCTGATTGTGCAAAGAGTAAATGTAAAAATATAATTTCCGTAAATTCACAGCATACTTTTAGACACCTTTTTGATGGTTTCAAAATTGTATATGGGAATGCCACAAAAATCGCGAAGGTTTTAAAATATAATTTTAGGTGTCTAAAAGCATGCAACAACATATTTTAAATTTCGAATACATCATGTATTTGCTGCATACTCTTAAACACCAATAATTACACTTAAAGGTGATTTCAAACCTCAAACGAATTCGAAATTCGATACGGTTGTGCCACACAAATCACTAAGGTTTTAAAATGTTATTTTAGGTGCCTAAAAGTATGCAACAATATATTTTAAACTCAAAATACAACAAATTCATTCAGAAAGATGACTATTATTTATTTATTGCATACTTTTAGACACCTAAAATAACATTTAAAGGAGATTTCAAACGTTTACTGAATTCTGTGGCCCTCTTGTTTATTTTACTTGGCCACACGACTTTAAAATATTTTTGCTTTGATTTCCCTAATGAAATGCAGCCGCAGCTCAAACTTCGATTCCCCGGCAATTAATCATGTTGTCAATTAGTGAAATGGCAGCCTAGGCCTTCATTATCAATTAGAGAGTGTCGCATGAAAATATTTACGCAGCTGCAGAAGGCAAAGTGAAGTCGAGGCAAAGGAGTTCAACTACGAGGCGGGTCACAGCAGGACATCTGCCGCTGCAAATGGAGAGTCCTGCTGCTCCTGCCTGCTTAACGAAATATGCAAATTGCCTAAAAGTATGCCACAGACAATGGCAGGCGAACAAACAACAGCATTTTGCAATTAGTGCAACTGTCAACAGGACATGGAAGACGACGAAGGCGAAGGATGAACGTGGGTGGGTTTTGGATGGGTAGATGGGTGGTTTTTGGATGGGTGGTTTGGGGTGATTCGGGGTGATACTGGGTGGTGGACTGATGCCCTGAGTGACACGACCGACGAGAGCGCCATGACCAATGCAAGGTCGTGGCCCATCAACGCCATTCACTCGAGCCCGGGCTCTACGTTTCTACGTTTCTCGGATTCCCCGGCTCTCGGGTTCCCCGGTTCTCCGATTCTCGGTTCTCCGGTTCTTCGACCTGTCAGCCAGCTCATCATGTGGCCTAAGTGCCTTTTGGGATTCACTCGGCAGGGCAGCCCCGTATCATCCCGACCTCCTGACCCCGCCTCCCAACAGCAGCCACTTGATATTTGGGCCTTCGGCTTAGATAATTTAAGTTGAAAACCAAAACAAAAAGTTTGGTCAAGTTTTTTGTTTTATAGGCATATCTAGAAAGTTGAAAGGGTTGGAATGAAATGGGGAGAAAATAATTGGCCAGCATGTACATAGGCAGCTACTTAAAAACTTTTATTTCGAAACCCCTTTTTGGGAAATTTCCAAAGTTTTGATACCATTTTAATTAAGACTTTGAACTTCAAAAGCAATATAAATTACTGCAAATATTTTAACTCATACAGTTAACATTCCAGTATAAAGGAATATAATAAAAGTTAATTAAATGGGGCTTGCATATTTTTTTATTTTAACTAAGATTAGGGTTAAATGGTAATACAGTCAAGCTCCAATAAAATCCAATTATTTGAAGCAATAAACGCACATTTATCAAGACTTCATTTGGAGCTTTCCTCTCATTAAGTAATTTAAAATAACCCCCTTTGCGAAATTTTCAAAGAGTGGATACCATTTTAGTGAAGACCTGTAACTTAAAAGGCAAAATAAATTCTTAAAAATATTTTTAATCATCTAATTAACATTCCGAAAAGAAAGAATATAATTTAAATGAAATAAATGTGAAAGGAATATGTATTTAAATGATAACACAGGCAAGTTCCAATAAATTCCAATTATATAAAGCAATAAACTCACATTTATCAAGACTTAATTTAGGTTTCACCCATCTTTGGTAATTTAAAATAAACTGGCTAAATCCCCATAGAATTCTGGCTAATACAAAACAATGTTGACGTATATTATCTGGGTGCTTTCACCTTCTCCCAGGCACTTTTTGTGTGGTGTGTTTTATGGCTGTCCGAGTCATGATTCATTTGCCTTTTTGTGTTTATGGCCAAAACTTTGGCTTAGCCCAACTTTCTCCAGTCACTTTCTCCACCCCCCCTCCCCCCATATATGTATGACCGTATGTTTAATACCCACCCTATTCGTTTTGTTTCTTTGCAGGTAAGCATGAAAGGACATCCGCAGCCCTAGTTGGCCCAAAAGCTGCCTTGGCACAATTTCACGCCCCAGCTGGCCCAAAAGCCACCCCCTCATCAGCCAAATGAAGGCAAATAGCAAGCTGGGGACGAGAAAAACAGCTGATGAAAGTACTGAAAACTCTAATTGAATCGCGTGTGTGCATGTGTGTAACTGTCGCCGGGAAACCCGGAAAAACTTTCAATAGCATTTCAATTTGAGTTTCTCTGCAGCACGAAACTTTAAGAGTTTGCCAAAGGGGATGGGGGGAAAATTCAAGGGATGCGATCTGCACGTGGGATTACTTTATCTGCACTTTAAATACAATACTTACAGCTTGCTTGTATAGTAAGTACTTTTAAAGAAGGTTTTAAAGCCAGGGAAAATTTAAGAAATATATTGGCATTTCCACCAGAAAGTCCACCAAGCCAAAAAGCTTTAAGCTTGTCTAAATGATATTACTAGATTTTTTTCTCCTGTATACGTTTCCAATTAGATACCCAACTTAGCAACGCAATTGGTATAGAATTTGATTATCTTTAATATTAAGTAGTATCAAAATCCTCAAGGAGTATTTTTTGGTATTTTGTCGGTAACTTGCAGACCTCTATTCTGTTGTAATTTTATCCAATATCATATAAAGCTCACTATCCAAATTAAATCGTTTGATTTGTTGCACTTTAAAGACGTTTGTAGCGACTAAAATTTAAAAGTGTTAGGTTACACTCCAGTTCTCATAGTTCTAAAAAAGAATGGTACATATTATTGCTTGAGTAAAGCTTTAAATTGAAATAACTTTACCAAAGTGGCCTCTCAAGTGGTTTGAGATGGCTTCTATGTAGGTGGCACCAAATACGAGTTGCCTTTTTCAACAGATCATTAGGCGGCAAGTCCTTATTCATCCTTTGAAACCTGCGCATGAAGGGTATAAATCCGCGTTTCTTTGGGGGAAAAGAAGGAGGTCCGGCTTTCTTCTTAACCTGGTTCTTGATTGATTTGGATGGCTTCCTTTTCATTCTGTTCCTGGACTCCTTCTCACGGGCATACGGAGAAAGAACTGGACTACGTTTATCCCGCTCAGATTTATCGGGGCTGTCCCCATGGGACTTACTTCCAAACACTTAAGGTTGTTTCTAGCACACGTATGTTTATAATTGATACATATTGTTCATAATTAAGATATTTCTTACTTACCATCTTTTTGAAGTGTTCCTTTTCCTGGAGGGGCAACTTGTTCCATTCTCTAGCAGCTAGCTATGTTAATAATTGCTACATATTTTCGATAATTAAGATATTTCTCACTTACCATATTGTTAAAGCGTTCCTTCACCTGAAAAGTCAACTTTTTCCATTCTCTAGTTGCTAGAGAATGGAAAAAGTTCACCCTTCAGGAAAAGGAACGCTTTAAGAATATGGTATGTGAGAAATATCTTAATTATGGAAAATATGTAGCAATTATTAAAATACGTGTGTTAGAGTCTAGCTCCAAAACGTATCAAGTCCTGTGGTGAAATTTCGCAAAATCGCTTTTTGTATGTTAATAAGTACTAACTATTTTTCATAATTAAGATATTTCTTACTTACCATGTTTTTGAAGCGATCCTTTTCTTGGAGGGGCAAGTTGTTCCATTCTCTAGCTCCGAAACGAATCACGTTCTGTGGGGAAATTCCGCAAAATCTTTTTTTGTAATCGTTTAGGAAGTTGAGGTAGCCATTGATTGTAATATTCGCTTCTTTCTGGAACTTGTAAACTGGATTACACGTTGCTTCCGCTCTTTTTTCCGTCCATATTTTTTATTTTGTACTTTTATTTGTGTAAAACTAAAATTTTGTTCCCCTTACACGACAATTGAATACTAATGTGAATACTGATTCTGATTGAGAAGCTATTCTCCCAGCTACTACGATACTTCTTTTTATTATTTATTTAAAGTTGTAAATAACAAATGATAAATCTTAAAGATTTTTGTAAAAATCTTTTATCGTTAAGAGTACAGTGAAATTTTAAAAGTAAGTTCCGTCCCTAATAATCAGTGTTTTGGCTGCCATAATGCAAAAAATGGAAGGAATAAGAAATGGCATTTAAACCTAGAAATTTTTAATTTTTCGTAATTTTTCGTCAAAAAACATCATCTACCCCTTTACAAAAAATGCGAAAATGGGTCAAAAAAAAATGTTCCTTAAAATGATTGGGATCGATAGCATTTGCAGCAAGCTGTCCAAAACAGTTGTTCTTTCAGCTGCACGCCTTGATTTGACTAAACTACGATTGAAAAACCACTAAAAAGTGAGTATTTTCGACCAAAATCTGAATCACAAAAATAACGATGTACCCCCTTATAAAAAATGCGAAATTGGGTAAAAAAATAAATGTTCCATAAAGTGATGGGGATCGAAAGCATTTGTAGTAAGCTGTTCAAAACAGTCGGCCTTTTAGCTGTACGCCTTGATTTGGCAAAACTACGACTGAAAAACCACTAAAAAATGAGTATTTTTGACCAAATCTGAATCACAATAATAAAAAATTATTAAAAAAGCAAAAATGGGTCAAAAAATAAATGTTCTTAAAAGTGGTGGGGATCGATATCATTTGTAGCAAGCTGCTCAGAACAGTCGGTCTTGTAGCTGTACGCCTTAATTTGGCTAAACTACAACTGCAAACCGCATAAAAGGAGCACTTTTGAGTAATCGCATTAAAATACTTTATCAGAATTCGCTGAAATCAAGGATTGAATGGACTTCTGCAAAACCCACTTATATTTTTGTCCCGAGCTATTACGAAAGTCTTTTCAAGATATTTTAAAAACTAAAAATGGGGCAAAACCCAGATTAATACACCAGGAACAGTAAAAAGTAAAGCCCAATATTCAATTAAAATCCTTTTCTTTTTGCATTTCTTCCAATTTTAAATGATTACGAACATTCCGAGCGGTTACCTGGAATTGCCCATCTGCTCTTTTATAGCCCCTGCAAAAGAAATACATTTTAAATTTTATTTCTAACAAATTAGTCGAACAATTTTTCTTTTGAGAAAATGGAGTGCTTTTAAGAAAGTTCCAATTCCTTTGACAAGCCCATGCTTTTTAAAATCTTTTCAATTCCTTCTCCTGTTTTTGACCAATTCCAAGGAAGGGCAATTTATCAAAGCTGCTGAAGGCAACATATTCCGAATCAATGCCAGACAATGATGGATAGCAGCTGTTTCCCCGGGGAAATTTCGGCAGCAATATGCCAAATGTAAGGACTTTAAGCCAGAACCAACCAAAAATGAAGCTGTGAAAACTCAATTAAATTGTGCAGCGCATTTGGATCGGCTGCATAATGGACGCACAAGCAAACACTAATGCCCACGTTCCATTCCCCGCTTTTTATGGCCACAAAGTCGGCAAACATTTAAAACCCCATTCAAATGGCGCCATGTGGCATTTAAGTCCCCAGAGAATCGTATATGTGGGTGAATATGGTCCCGGTGCTGCATATATGTGGGGATATATCTACATACCATATAATACGCCCTCTCTTATAGACAATTAGTGGCACTCGACAATCTGCGAAAACTTTCCACAGGTCCCCCATCCGAATTTTTCCTTTGTATATGGAAAAATGAAGAGAGATTTTTCGGTAGGAAAACAAATAAGCGACGCGCTAACGATGCCATCGGAAAATTCGTTGCTAGATGGCAAATTAAATTCCCGTTAAACTGCCAAGCAGCCAGCAGCAACAACAAGAACAATAATAACAATAAAAATTATAATAAATTATAGATTAAAGTCCTTTCAATGGCAGACGCGGCAGGACTACGTTTTGAAATCAACACAAAGGCACTTCGACCCAATGATACTTATTAAAGGTTATGACAGGCGGATTAACGTTAATTTATGGCCTCTTAAAACCCCTAAGTGGGAGTTAATATATCTGCTTAAATGAAAATCAGTAAAATGCATTAAATATATTTAAAAAGTTACACAAATTGTTTAGAAATTGCTTTAAGTGCTTAGTAAACCGCCAAGTTGCAAAGTTCATTACGCATACGCAATGTTGACACATTTTGTTGTACATTTAGTTAAGGCAAAGTGAACTGAACGTAATGCTTGCGGGCTGGCCAACAAGTTAAATGCTTATAAATAGTTTTGACTTAATTATTTACAAAGCTTTTAGCATAATTTTTTTGTTGGCACTCATGTCGTATGCGCAATTTTATGTTTTCCCCAGATATTTATATTTATTATAGAACATTTTATAATTTATTCCAGCAAATTGAAAACGTGCTGGTTAACAAATTTAATGCTTATAAATAGTTCTGACATAATTAACTTACAAAGCGTTTTGGATAATTTTTTGGCACACATGTCGTATGCGCAATTTTAATTGAGTTCTTGTAAAGCATACATTTTGTAAGAGTTTAAGGGTCTTACGTTTTCCCCAGATATTTATACATATTATAGAAAATTGTATAATTTTTTCCAGCAAAGTTGAATGCTTGTAAATAGTTTTCACACAATTAATTTACAAAGCGTTTAGCATAATTTTTTTTTGGCACACATGGCGTATACGCAATTTTAAGTGTGTTTTTATATAGCATACATTTTGGAGTCTTATGTTTTTCCCAAATAATTATATTTATTTAAGAAGCTTTTATAATTTATCCCAGTAAACTGAAAACTTAATGGTTCTTAAATATGCCTTTGTGGATGCTCCGAAACATTTTCTGGCCATATCCCCAGTCCAACATACCATGGAAATTCTGGGGGAAGCTGGGCCAAATGAGTATCTTATCCGAGCGAAAGGAGCAGAGATCTGAGAACTGTCTAGGCCGATAAATACATGCTTATTATTCAAGTGCGCAGCCAGCTGCGACTCGCAAGATGTTACAGGTGCCACAAGCAGAAAGTCCCCCCCTAATTCCCCATTCCTACGCCCCTGTCATCCAGTTACCAGCATTTGTGTTAAGTTAATAAGGCGTTCGCCAGGGGGCAGAATTGGTGGGCAGGTTGGTGGGAGGGCAGGTGGGCAGGTGGGCAGGTGGGCGTGGCCATGCCTCTTCACCTGGAATTCTGCCGCAGGCACCTCACGCATGCTGAGCTCAGCAGCTCAGCAGCTCAGCCAGGTGGGGAATCCCCTGCCACGCCCCCAGTCCCCGCCCCCCGTTCCCTTGGAGCTGCCTAATCAACTGCCGCTTATTTATTTAACTTTGGTTTCACATTCGCCAAGCGAGCAGAAGAAATGTGCTTAACTTTCTGGTTACCGGTAAATGCACTCGGAAATAAATGTAGGGGTTGCAGATTTTATTTTCAGAAATTTTAACTTCCAAATAAAGTATAAAAATTAATTTTTAGATTTTGCAAATATTTTAGAAGGCAAGAAAAATATATATTGGTAATATTTCGTATTTAATGGTGTGATTTCATAGTTGGGCTTAGCTAATATGGTTAGTAATTAAAGTGATTGTAACGCCAATTAAACTTATAAAACCTACTGATTTCTATATAAAAAAGATGTTCAGTTTAAATATGGCCATTTTAGATTTTTTATATTTTAAAATACATATATGATCAAACTTTAAATACTGAGTTTAATTATTTTTGGAATTTAATTATTAACTCTTTTTTAAAGCCAGTTTGGAATGGTCATGTTAAATATCATAATATATCTTGTATAGGTATATCTTACATTGCCTTTTAAGATATAGAATAAACTACAAAGCAGTGGTTAAAAAAAAGTATGGTATTACCCTAAAATTTGTTAATGTATGAATTTAGTTTATACAAATGAATTCTGTCCATAAGCTTTATTTAAATGTAGGAAATTCCCTAAATTTATAATTTTTATAAAAGTGTAATGCTTATAAGTCAGGGACAATTCACAGAAATTTCCTGTCCCCTTTTTCCTCCCAACAGACAAAGTTAAGTCATCAAGAAATTCCATTTGATTTCACCCGACATGAAATTGGCAAAAAAGAATGAATGCAGATATTCTTTTTAATATTTAATATAAACACAAATATAAATCCAATTTGCATCTGACTTTCATTTAATTATGTATAAACACATATATGAAAGTGCGTGCTCGACAATTCATTTAATTATTGTCAAAAATTCGATTACAAATTTAACACACAATTAACGCTGATTAAACAAAAATGAAAATGGATTTGCGCAGACAGGCGTTTTAAATTTTCATTTTTACTGGAAGACAAATTGTTTGCTGAGTTTAACTTTAAGTTTGTGAGAACAAAAAGGCGAGGGGAAGTGGAAAATAGGGGAAGGCCTGGTTTTTCTTTTCATTTTCCCTGTGCTTAATGTGGAAACTTACTCATGTAAATGAAAAAACGCAGGTGGCAAAACTTTTTTGCTCACCCACACAAAGACAAAGAGGGCCAAACGAGGGTGTGTGTGTGTGTGTGTGTGTGTGGGGGGGGGGGGGGTTTTTTTTGCTGTATGTCTGCGTGAGGTTATGCTTGTATTGGCACTTGTATTTACATGATATTTAGAAAACACTCTCTCCAAAGTTAGGGCTTAACATAAGGCATAAGATGGCAAGGACTCGAACATAAATTAACTTGGCTTCCTGTCTCTTTCTCACTTAGTCTACCCGTCTCTTTCACCCTCTTCTGCTCCTATAAGCCCTGTTTTTGTTGTCTTTTGACCACATTTCCTATGCGCATTAATTTAATTTCAGTTGCAACAAACTTTAGCCATTCCCCAACGCGCTGAAAAAATTCAGTTTCTCATCTAAATTGAATTCCTCTTTGATGGCCAACTGCATTCGATTATGGCCAAAAGCGACATTGAAACCAAGCGAATACCGATTACGGGAAAAAATGGCTGCCATTTGTGCATTTTAAAAATTCCCATAAAAATGCTAAATAAATATCTTTTCTTTTCGTGCGTTTATTTTAGCCATTAAAACTGTCAAAATAAATATTTAATTCCATAAATGGCCAAACAAATATATATTTTCGTGGAAAATATGCATGTCCACTGAATAGCTTTTTAATAAAAGTACAAAAAATGTCAAAAGTTTTCGTGAAAACTTTTTTGTTCTTTATTAAACCATAAATTTATGCAGAAAAGCGGATGACAGAAATAAAATTGTAATTTTCTTTATGGAAATGGAAAACAATTTTATTTTAATTTATTTTATTTAAGCAACTGCATAATAAATTTCTTAAAAAATAGGTATTTAATGCGTTCTATACTTTAGGTTATACACTTTAAAATATTTTTGGTTTTATAATTAGTATTTACAAATGACGCCTACCACAATAAAATCTATTAAAGTCGCTTATCCATAATGTATATTCATATTATTAACTATATTATAATGTTGACATTGTTTGCCTTTGATCTATGATTTCAAATTCACGCAAGGTCATGGAGTTTTTATAAGCCATCAATGGCTCTCTTGGCCACTTCAGATACTTTGCCTTGATTACTGTTGTCCCATAAACATGCGCATATATTTATGCATAGCATTCATAAACATATATACGATCGCAGTCCATCCACATCTGCATAACAATATTTGCATGGCCATCGAGCATTACCAGGCCGGTTTGGAAAATGGAAAACAATGGCCTACAAATCCAACCCTCCAGCCGTCTAGTTACGTGTGTTGATTTGGCCAGTTTTGCCATTTTGGCCAATGGGTTTTTGGGCCAAAAACGCGGCCCTGTGTTCGTGCGGTTATTAAACATGTTTACCACAAGCAACCGCAGCAATGTGAGTGCCTCCGAAAAACAATAATCCAACTGCTGATGTTGATTTTCCCCCTTGTTGTTGCTGCGTGCGCCTGCATGCTGATTTCCGTTTCCTGTTTACGAGTCCACACCAACACAGACACACACACACACACATATAGCCGCGACGGGGAAAATCGTGTAAATATTCAGGGGCATTTTCCACAATATGAGAAAGCCATTTTTAAGGCATACATTTTTAATAAACTCCTATCCCAGCTGCAGACCCTTTAAGGCGTCTTTTAATCAACACCCCACATATCCAATTCGACTTCAAAATAATGGTAGTATAAGCAGACATTAATAAATAAAAATAGTAAATTCTATATTTTATTTTAATAAAGTACTTGTAAGTAATGGTATTCAAAGAAGTTCGTATTTTATAGATTCCGAAATTATTTATAGAATTGTTAGTACCGCAATCATAATAATTTTTTTAGAAATTAAATTTATCTTGATATGTTTTATATTCATCCTTAACTATTCCTTTAAATATATGGTCACACTACTAATATTTTGAACTCAACTTTACATATCCCTCATTCACATATAGTTCTAGAATTTTTAGTTCCGGAATCATTATTCTTTTAGAAACTTAATTTATCTTGATATGTTTTATATTCATCCTAAATATTCCTTTAAATATATGGTCTCACTACTAATGTTTTGAGCTCAACTGTACCTAGCCTCATTCATATATGCATAGGCTGCGGCTGTGTGCGTGTTGCCATCGATAAATATAAATATGCTCTTGAGAGTTGGTCAACGGAATCTTTATATCTCTCACTTCAACGCCTCCATTTTTGTGTCTGGTTTCCGTTTCCCCTCGTTTTTTGTGTTTTACATATAGACCCAGAAACACCTGCCACCCAAAGATACAAAGGGTGGCTTTTTGACTTTGGGTTTCCGGAGAAAATCTTTAAAAACTTAAAGAGTTTAATATATGCCAAACCTATATTTATAAGACCGAAAGCTTATAACTAGGATGTGAAATTTATTTAATAACTTGTTTCCCACTGAAAATACCTATATGAATCAAGGCATTTATACCTTTTTTAGGGTAAACCACTGTTTTTTTCTATATGTAAACTCCTGAGCATATCTTTATAAACTTTTATAGACTAAAGATTGTTTATTATAGAACACCCTGTTCGGCATCTGGTGTTTATGGCCAACAGCTTTGGCAGTTACATCTGTTATTTGTTGCCATTTCGCTTGTCGATGGCGATTATTGTAAATCAACTTTGAGCCAAACCGACTTCAAGTGGTTGTAACACTTGTTGTAGCTCCTATTTCTTGTTGTACACCCGATGTTCTTTCTTGGGCCTTCAGCATGTTGTTGTCACATCTGTAATCGCATTGGATATCGCATTAATTTTGCAACATTTCCACGCCAATGCGAAAGAAATAAGCAAAAAAAAAGAAAAAAAATGCTCGTGCAAAAAGGAAAATAAATGTTAATCGAGTTCTTGGGACTGACAGTCGATTGAGGTGAGCCCGAATTGGATTGGTTTATGTGTTCAGGATGGCTTTACCTAATGCTTGACTGCCTGGGCTCCCTTTCTACATACATATATCCCCCTGTCAGCGGTTTGTCCTTGCGGTTTCTGTGCGGTTTTCGTGTCCTGCATTTGACATATGCGGCGAATTGAAAAGTACTCAAGCCAGCAGGCGCTGCGTAAGCATTTCCAGCCACACAAACCGCCGACCACCCGCCTCCAATTTTCCACTCGGGCGGTAAGGACATCCACATTCCGCTTTCTGCACGGCATTAATTTTGCTGCGGTCAAAACTTGTTTGGTTTAAAATTCAAAAAGAGGAGGATGGCACCAGAAATTGCTAAAAGCTCGAGTGGGGATTTTGTGACTTAAAGTCCGCGCTTTATGAAAAGTTTGGAAAGCACAGAAAAAGGATTACAAGAGCTTTGTTGGGGTCAAGACTTTATCATCAAAAAGGCTTAAATAGCTTTGAAACATATCTTAAATCTATGAAAAAAAGTTGTGACTTTATGAAGCTTTTTAAAGTCCTGCAAACATGACTTTTAGGGACTCAGCTTTTGCTTTCCTGAGCTTTTAATGTTTGTTTGGGCTTACTAAAAGCTATGTTCAAAGAAGTAGAAAGCTGTAATATTTTTGTATAAAATAAATAAATATTAAATTAAATTTAGTTGTAAAATTAAAAATAGTAAATAATAAAACAAGTACAAAAGGTTTTTTATTTGTATTCTAAAAAAACTGAAAATGAGATACTTTGCTAAACTTTCATGACCGTAGAAAGCTCCTCCCTAGTTAAAGATTGATAAGCTTTCTAAAATACTACATGAATTCTGATTCTATATTAAATTTTAGAAATAAATTAACTGAAATTAATAGATATACATATAAAAAAAGAAAATATTGCTAAAAATATTATAGATAGCTACAATTTCTGTTAAGACAAAATATAATATTTTCAAAAGATCAAAACAAAATGGTTTAAAAAACACTGAAGTTGGAAAGTTTTTTATTTGTATTCTAAAAACTTAAAAGAGATACTTTGCTAATCTTCCTTAAACCTAGAAAGCTTTACATTTTCCTCAGTTTAAGATTGGTAAGCTTTCTATAATACTACATTAATTCTGATTCTATGTTAAATTTAAGAAACAAATAAACTGAAACTAATAGAAATACATCTAAAAATGGAAAATATTGCCGAAAATATTATAGATAGCTTAAATTTTTGTCAAGGCAAAATATAATATTAAATATTATATATATAATATTAAATATTAAAAATATCAAAAAAAAATGGTTTTAAAAACACTGAAGTTGGAAAGTTCTAAAAACTGAAAAGAGATACTTTGCTAATCTTTCTTAAAGGTAGAAAGCTCCTTCTCAGTTAGAAATTGGAAAGCTTTCTAAACTTTCTTTCTAAAGCTTTATATTTTCCAAAAAATATTCTAGATAGTTAAAATTTCTGTTAAGACAAAATATAATCCTTCAAAAAATCAAAACAAAACGGTTTAAAAAACACTGAAGTTCTGAACCCTTCCAAACTTTATTTTGAAAAGCAATGGACATTTTCTGGAAAAGCTTAGCCAGGACAATGAAAGCTTTTTCCCTTCGATCAGCTGTTTTTGGGGGCAATATCTTTTGGCGCCCAAAACACGCACGAGTGTGTGTGTGAGTGCGTCTGTGTGCGTTGCTGAAAACGTAAACAATAACAACAAAGGCGGACGCCCGGCCCCATTTACGCACACCAGTGCAAGCGAACTCCAGCAATACACGCACACACAGGCGCACAGGTCACACACACGCAGACGCAGCAGAGAAATGGCGGACGGAATTTACCGTTTGTTTCGCTCCGCCATTGAGTTTTTGGCATTCAGTTTCATTTTCACTTTCAGTCGTCGTTTGACTTCCGCACGGAAGCGTTCGCTCTCTCGCGTTCGTCTCTCTCTGTCTCGCCCGCACCTCGACTCTCTCTCGCCTCGTCATTGTTGTCATTGTTTTTGGTGGTCACTATTTCGCACAGTGTAGCCGAGGAAAATGTAATCAACTCAAAGAACAAGACCGCAAAAAAAAAACACAGAGAATATATTGTGACAAGAAATCATCCATTAAAGGTGGGAGAAAGAAAGTGGGGAAAGTTGCTTAAACGGAAATAACAACAAAAATTATAACAGCTGTTGTTGTTGCTGCTGGTAGTACTATGTGTGTGTGGGTGTGTGCGTGTGTGTGCCTTGCATGTGTGTGTTACGCCATTTAACCCCCTCCTTGGAATTATACCCCCCTCTGTTTAACTTACTCAATGAAAGCAAAACAATCGACACAGAAAGGAGAAGAATGAACGAAGAACAACAAATGAATAGCCATTAAAAAGTTCACTGGAACAAAATATTTGCTTTATTTTTAATTAACCATTAGGGTTTTAAAATAAATTTAATTAAAGAGGAATGTTTTTATGGTTATTTTGGAATCTATTAATTCAAAATCAACATATATCACTTAATAAATGTTCTTAGTTATATTTAAAGCTTTGTTTATTTACTTTGCATAATTTAAAGTAATGTTTTTATTGTTTTATTTTTTAAATCAAGTACGTTAATTTAATCATTAGTTGTATCCACGAAAATAATTTGTACTTCACCTTTTATATGCAATAAATGTCTTTAAATACATATCTTTAAAATGTGTCTTAAGACCCCAACCTTGTCAACACAATATTCTAGTTCAAGTAATAGAAAAAATCAAAGAACATGTTTTAATTGTTTTTTGAAATATACGCCACATAAATAAAAATAAATATTTGATCATAATGATCAGTACGTATAAGTCATAAGTTTTAAAGCCAATACACAGACTCTAAAAGGATTTTATTTTGGGTGTTGCATTAATGCTTCAAAGTGTACTAAAAACTTAGGTGAGAGTAGGACCTAAAACATTTCCACATATGTATATTTCAAGCGTCCTGATAAGCATGTTTAAATATTAAGAAGTGTTTTTATTATTAACAAAAATTATTTAGACCAAGAAGAAAACGATACATGTAAGTGACAGTAGGACCTTAAACGATTCCATATATGGATATTTTAATATGTGTATTAAAATATTAGGAAGTGTTTTATTATTAAAAAAACTATTTAGACCAAAAAAGAAAAATATAGTGTTGGCAACCCATAGTTTTTATACCCTAGTCATGCACTTAAAATCATATTACAAAAACCGTAGTCGTACTGTCATAGGGGCATTTCCTATGAAATTATATCATTTGTGTCTCAAATTTTTATTTATTCAAAAAAATATTTTTTTAATTGAAAAACAAACTGTGCATACCTACATATGTCGAGATATATGCGCATTTGTAAGAAAACGAAAGTCTGTTAAATTCTTAATTCTAAAAATGACCAAAAACTAAAATCAAATATTTTTAAAACTTAGCAGCTAGTTTGGATAGGAGAAGTTCGGAGTGAATACAAATCTCCTTCACAACGTTGAAGACTTCTGACTAAAATTGTATAATTTCTATGATATAAATTGAAATACTCAAAAACTATCAATTTTCAAGCATAAGCCGAACATCACGACAAAAATTCGAATTACCTTGAAGCTTGAATGGAAAAAAGATGATAATTAGTTATTCCTTCTGCCCGATTTTTCGCAGTGCACCTAAGTATGTGTGCGTGCCAGCCACATAAATCCATGTGGACATTTTTAATTTCCTGCTGAATGGCGAGCAGAATGCAAACAAACAGCTGACAAACTGGCAAACTGGCAAAGTGTGTCAATGTCCGTGCTCATATCGTCAGGCTGCAGCAGCTGTTTATATTGCATACCCTGTATACGTATGTCCTTCCCCCAGTAAACCCTATATGCCAGCCCTGTTTATGCCTCCCATATCCAAGACAAAAAGTTTGCCCAACCTAGAGCCGAGAGCTGTATATTTTGCTGCCTTTGCCATCTTATTTTTTTTCCCATCCCATCTTGGCCCACTGGCAGTTCGCCTTTTGGCCATGTTCTCTGTTTGCACACAGCTTCAGAACCTGTCCGTATGGTGTGTGTGTGCCTGGCATTGATATATGCCCGAGCTTTGGTTAGTGCCGAGCACCAGAGATTGGCCACTGATAGGACAGACGGATGAGCTGGGGGATAATACGAGGTTCAGGCTATTATCTCAATTTGGCCAAGCACTTTCGAACGTAGAAAACATCTCTACCAAGGCCTGCATATCAGAGTTTTAAAGGATATGAGCTGAATACTTACATATACTCAGCATTTTATGGCTAAAAATATATTTTATCTTTCGATTTTCTGTGTTTTTAAAGACAGAATTCCATTTAATTCATAAATGTAAGTATACCAAACAAAGCTAGCTGAAATAATTGAGAAAGGAAGTATTTAACCTTAGCAACTTCCCGACCTGGCCAAATTTCCGCTGAAGAATACTTGCCAAAATTATATTTCCTTATTCTACAAGCGGAAACTTTCTTGGCTCACTGAGAAAACGGCACCCCGCCCTCCAGTTGGCCAAATAGTTTCCTATTCCTGGCGAAAAGTAAGCTGGCCAAAAATTCAACAAGATTGTTCAAGGCCAGTACGGGGGAAGGGTTTAAATTGAGAGCCACAGAAACCAAATTGATTGCCCCGAAACAACAAAAAAAAGGTGAAGAAATCGAAGGAGAAAGCCAAAGAGAAAGCGCCCTGTGAAAGCAAGTGACCAGCCACATCAATCATACGCAGTGTTGTACGTTGGCCCAAACATTTGCATAGGCTCCTGCCCACTTGACCGCCTTTCCATAGCCGAACAATATGCAAATTGCAAAAGTGGGCCAAGTTTTTCCCAGGTTCTCCAAGTTTTCCACCCATCTTTTTTGGAACAGCTGGCGCTGTTGAAGTTTTCCCAGTTTTATGCTAATACTTTCGGCAAAAAGTTCCCCTATCTCTCCACCTCACATGTGCTCCTCAACCTCCTTTTTCCCCCATCGAGTAATTCAATTCTTGTTTTTTTGGCATTCTGCGACTAAGTCGTTTATCTGGCACCAAACACTGCCGGCAAATTGAATCAACAGCTTAAAGTTACGGGATAGCACATTATAGTACATTATAATCATGACTTCGGTCGCATTATGCGGACGCGTTCAGGTTAAGTCGCTTGACATCTCCGCGATTATGCAAATTTTTTCGCGGCCCGGGAAAAGGGCGCCACAATTTATTGCCCAAAAATGCCGCCAAGGTTTTGGGCCTGATGATTGCATAAACAGCTCATTAAAAGACACACACAACCAGAGACACGCTCACAAAAAGAGCGGCAATGGGCGGGAAAAATCTTGGGCTAAGAGGGCGGGAAAATCTTTACGACGCACATCTCTAATTTAGATAATGCCCAGCGCACAACATGGCGTGTGTGTGTCCAAAAGTCAGGGCGGGAAAATCCGACAAGCCAGCACTGGGAGAAAGTCATTTAAAATGTTTTAAGATCAATGGAATTGGTGTCAGAAAGTACAGAATTATTTATTTTATTTGATTTTACTCGACATAAAGTAATACTTCTTATACCAGAATCTAGGAATAATATAGGTTTAAGAAAATAAATGTTTAAGTGGTAAAAAAAACTATACTTAAAAAATAAATATATTATTACAAAATTATAAAATATTTATTCCATTTTTGTCCGCTTATTTATTTTATGTTACTCCACATATATTTATACATAGGGATACTAAATACATTTTGAGATGGAAAAGAAATCTATACTTAAATTATGAAATATTTATCCTATTTTTGCATGTTTATTTATTCTATTTTACTCCATAATAATACTTTTGGTACCAGAATATACGAAGAAAATAGAATTACAGCAACATTTTTAAGTTGAAAAGAAATCTATCCTTAAAAAATATATAATTATCCTATATTTGCCTGTTTATTTATTCTATGATACTCCACATATAGTAACACTCTTCATACCAAAATCAATGATATAGGGACCACAAAAATATATTAATAAGTGGAAATATAAATCTAAAGTTAACAAATAAACAATTTTATAAAATAATAAAATATTTATTTTATAGTTGCCTGTTTATTTATTATATGTTACTCCATATATACTAATACTTTTCATACCAGAATATAGGGATGATATAGGGACTGCAAAAATATATTTATAAGTCGAAGAATAAATATAAAATTAACAAATAAACATTATTATAAAATTATAAAATATTTAACCTATATTTTCCTGTTTTTTTATTATATTTTACTATACATATAGTAATACTTTTCATACCATAACTACTGATATGTGAATTACAAATAATAAAATAAAAACAAATATTAATTTAAATTGTAACATAAATATAAATATAAAATATTTTGTTCCAACAAACTTACTCCTTATGTTTTCTGCTTATAATTTCTGCCTGTGTACGCCTAATGCATGCTATAATGGCCATTTTTACTTGATTAATGAGCCGAAAGCAACAGCAGCAGCTGAAGATGCCCCGGGTCTGGTCGAATTCAAGGCCAAAAGTCGGGGGCTTTTGTGTCTAAGAGCTGGCAACAGTTCGGCCAAGCAACTTTCCGCCATCCGACTAATAACCATCTCATCGTCATCGTCATCCCATCTTATCCCAACCCATTCCATTTCTCCATGGATCCCCAACAATCGTGTGATAATCATCGGCTGCAGCATCTTCATCATGGTGGAGATACAAAAGCCGCACTCGGCCCTAAAACGACCATCGCTAAAACGGGAAACGGTCGTTGTTAACAACAGTGCGCCGACCATCAAAAAGGTGACTCTGGTGCCCAAGGATGAGGTGAGAAATGGATGTATTACGAGCCACAAAGAACCCCCCTACCCTCTCCAAAATTCCAGCTAATTTGCATACATTTTCTGTGTGGGAAAATAACATATTTCTGGGAAAATGATTAGATTAATTGCGGCAAATTTATTGCTTAATCACTCAAAAGAGGCCTTTTAATAGGTATAAATTATATAAGTTGGTTATTGATTTTAAAAGGCTTATTTGGGTGAAGTTTTCGGATTAATTGGTAGATTTTAAACATATATGTTTATGAAATGAGATATCCTGTTGTACTTAATTCCATTGAAGATCAGTACATCACAAGGCCAAAAGCAATTTGTTGCCACATTTCTGACATATCATTTTTGGCTACAAGTCTTTTCGGGTTCCCGGAATATTCTAGCCAAGTTAATTAAGTATGCAAATGCCTTTGCTTTTGTCTTTGTCTTCGAGAGGGAAAATGTGGAAAATGTCGAGGACCTAGACACGAATGGAAGGGATTAAGTGGCTTCCTTTTTCTAGGCTCATTTAATTGCTTTCAGACGCGTCCTTGGTCCTTGATCCCTTTTTGTGTTGCAGAATTTCAGAATTTCAGAATTCATAAATAAAACAAGGAATGGCCCTGAGTCCCTCCCTCAGATTTCACAGTTTATAAATTTCCAAATTATACACTCCAGCTTAAGAGCGGGTAATTGAGTGGGTAGTGGGGAAAGGGAAGGGCATTCGATTGGCATTTCATTATTTCGGGTCCGGCCATAAATAAAACACAAACTCGATTTGCCATATCGATTGCCATATCGAGAGTCCTGCGGCAATGCCATCAAAAGCAGCCGCCTCCTGGTTTTTCACCATTTTTCCCTTAAACAAGTGGTCCGTAACGTCGCTTTCCTGCCCTTTATTACCAATTTTCTTTTCTTTTACCATTTTTATTTTTTTGGAGCCGGAAGTAGCGGACATAAACTAATAAAATAAAATAAAATACAAATAGCATTTATAGCGCCAAGCAAAATAATTGAGCAGTTCCCCTCGGATTCGGGCTGGCTAAATTTAATTTCTTCCACTGATTCACTTTCTCGCCCTTTCCCCAGTTGTCAAACTCGTTTTAAGCTGACTAACTTTCTCCGGGGCTGGCGACAAATGGGGGAAAAGTTTTCCCCAAGCTGATTACGGTTGCATAGAGGGTTAAGGGGCTCAGCGGGTTAAGACGCACTTTCCAACCCCCCGATTCGCTTTTAATTATCCTCATTTTCAAACTGTGACTGCGATGGTGAAAATTTGAATATAACTCTTCGGCTTTGTGGGCATTGAAAAAGATTTAAATGGCTAATTGATGGGTTGCTTGAGATAACAAATTGGAATAAATAAAGAGCCACGCCTTCGCTAAACTTCGATCCTTAATCAGACACATGTTTTTGCCCAACAACCCGCAGACTTTCCCCAACTTTCTCCGGTGTCCATGAAGTTTTGCTGCAATTTGTGGCCATGATAAGGCTTTGGCGATGGCCAAAGTGAAAGCGGTGGTGCAAACTTGGATCAATAAATAAAAGTAGACAGTAAATTTTGCATGCCGGGCAAAAGTGGCGATAAGCATAAAGTCCGGGCTTCGGATGGTTAGAGTTTTTACCCTTTCATTAATAATTGTCAGCCATGAGCCACGCATGAGGGAAATGTGGGCCACGGATGGGCGATGGGCTTTGGGTGGCAATGGTCACCATATAAATGGGCCAAACGACCCAAAGTCCATCATAATGACATAAGTTTTCGTGAGTGTATATGGTTTTGTGTGAGTGTATATGGTTGGGCAGTAAAAACTTTGTGTACCTTCCTCTATCACTCCTTACTCCTTATACAGCCCCTTTCTATATCTCTTCTAATATACAGGGGAAAAAATATTACATTCCTATTTCCTCTTTAGTTTTCGTAGTAATTTTAAATGGTAATACTTGTTTTTATAATGCTGTCTGTAAAACTATTGTAATTGAATATTTAAAAAAAAATATATGATATTTTCGGATTTTATAAAAAAAAATTCCAGTACATTGTTCTTGAATTGAGAACATTCGTTCTTAAAAACCGTGCAAGTACATTTTGGTATCAATGTTCTCTATGTTAGAACATTCCTATTTGATCTTAAGTTTTCGTAATAATTGTAAAGAGTAATACATTTTACATTGCATAGTACATTGTTCTTGAATTGAGAGGATTCGTTCTTAAAAACCGCGTAAGTACAGTTTGGTATCAATGTTCTCTATGTTAAAACGAAATAGTGAGAAGAGAAAATATAAATTGAGTTTATTTAACAGCTTTTTAATAAGTATACACTACTGTAAGCACAATGAATACATTTTTAACTTCAAAAATGTCGTTCTATTTTTAAGAATATTTTCAACTCAGATGAGATCGTCAGAATTCTCTCTGTGTATATTTTAAATGATCTTTTAAAGAGAAAAGTAATTATTAAAATATATTTTTAATACTGCTCGGCTTACATTTTTTCCAGTGTAGCATTCCGACATTCTCCGCCTTGCCTTCAATGTTGCAAATGATTTTTTCCGCCGGTCCTCACGGGACCCATTTCGGAATACTTCCCAGTTCCCCACCGCGTTTTCTATATCTACTGGTTTGCGTAATATTTGCGCCTATTCTTCCTCTTCCTCAGCCCGGGGGCTATAACTTTTTTTTCTCTGCAATTTCTAATTAAAAGCCGTCAGTTAGTTGAGTGCTGACAGCCGAAAAGTATGGATCAACCCGCCTGCCCAAGGCCTCGGACTTGTTGTTTTCGCCCGTCCGGCTTAAAAGTCGATTAATATTAAGATTTAGTGCGAACATTGAAGCTTTCAAGCAGGAGGATAATGCATTTTGAAGTAAACAAGTCGATAAGTATTTTTAGGCTTTGATGAATAAGATTACAGAATCTATAGATAGCAAAATAAATAAGCATTAATCACTCAAGCGAGAGAAAATTGAGGCAGAAAATCCAGCTAAAGAGTGTGTAAATGATTTATGGCATACTTTCTGGGGCCAGCAATTATTACATCCTGTTGAGTGTCCATTGTGGGGCGAAAGGGTTTATAATTTCGTCCTTTTGACAAGTGGCCACCAATCTTATCGTCGGCCAGCAGGCGGTGCCTAAAACCAGAGCAATCGCATTTGCCGCCACAAATTCGTCATTGTTTTTCGGCCAGCCTCCGGAAATCCAATTAAGCACTTTGCCAACGGACAGCCCGGGAATTAAATTCCCCCCGAAATGCAGCATACTCAAATTTCAGCTCTTTGGCTGGGTTTTTGTGGGTTCAGTGGAAATGTTTATGGCGGGCCATAAAATGCAGCTGGCAAAACCGCCACATTGTCTCACACATGAATTTTTGAACAAGGACACAACCGCTTTTATGCAACAATAAAAGGTCCATAATAGTTGCACTAAAACATTTACTTCATTTACTTCATAGTATTTTTTAAATTATTTAGAGCTTGAACATAAAAGTGAAGTGAAGAAGACAATATCAATGAATATATATTTACACCAAAATAATACTTTAAATATACATAAATAAATAAAATACGAATTTAAATTTATCATATAAAAACTATGTAACATTTAACACAAATCAGTTGTTATTTGGTGTATATTTTCCTTTTATTTATTATAACATACAACATACAATTTTTAAAATACCTTTAAAGCATTTTAAATAAATTTAAAAAAAATCTATGAAATATTTAACACAAATCAACTATTATTTGGTATATCTTTTCTTTTTTTTATCAAAAACCTAAAGCATAAATACTTCTAAAGCATTTTAAATATATTAAATAAAATCTATGAAATATTAACCACAAGTTAGGTATTTATCATTGAATTTATATTTTCTTTTTATGTATTAAAACCCACAACATAGAGAAATATAACAATAGCTTCAAGCTTTATTTTCATTTAATTTATCACTCATTCAAGTTGCATCATTGAATCACCATTGTTATTTTTTAGGCATTTTTGTATAATTACTTTACTGCTCTCCAGGCTTTTAAAGTTTTTTCCCTCGTTGGATTGGCTTTCATTTCTTTTTCCACTTTCATCATATTTTTTCATCACTGTTTCTGTTGTTGATCGAACATCCTTTGTGCTAGGTAATTATTTGCCATGGGAAAATAAAATGGCTAGAGCAGAATGCCTGGTTTTTATTTGGAAAAGAATAATCCTGCAAGTGAGTTATCAACTGGAGAGAGAGCCGGGTATCCGCAGACCAAGGCGGAAAATGCAATCATGGGCAGCCGGGAAATGGAAAACGGGAAACGGGAAACGGGATCCGGACACGGATACGTGGAAAACAAACCTTTGTGGTCCGACCGCAAAGGCAAACACAAACAGAGGCACAAACACCGGCGTGGAGGTAGAATCAACAATAACAATGTTTCCTCCTCAAGCATATGCACTTGTCAGTGGCATCTTCTCTGGAGTGGCAGCCCATAAAAGATGCATCCTAACCCAGACCAACCAGACCAACTCATAACAACCCAACTTGGCCCACTAGACCAGCCCTGCCGATCCCAACATGGCTTTGTCAGCTGTCGGCTTTGGTTGCAGTTTAATGGAGCAAAAAAAAAACAAACATACTTCCATAGAAAACGGCAAAAGGTTTTCCTTTTTTCTCCAACACAAAGGCAGATATTCTTTTCTGCAATTGGGAACCCAATAGTTAAAGCCCCATTAAAATAGTTTAAAGGGCAGCTATTGATTTTTAGGTTTGAATTGCTTTTCGTTATTCGTTAAACATCTGTAACAACATTGAATAGAATGAATACCTTTTAAAGAATTGCTATTTTTTTGTAGATAGTTCTACATAATTTTAAAATGTTTTTTAAATATTTAATAGCTAAAGTATGCCTTTAGAACATTTTTTGCAAGAACTTTAGAGTTAAGCAATTAAAAAAGGAAATCTATTTGGACGAAATGGGTTCCTTTTATGCCATTCAAGTGTGGTTCGAGTGTAAAGAACTGTGGTTCTAGAAAATATATTTTTAAATGATTTCACATAGCCATTTATTTTCCTCTGTGCATTCGCTGGGCGGGCATTGAACAATCGAAAGACAACTCGAGATGTAATCACGGAAAATTACAGGAAAGTATGCGAAGCCGCAGAATGAGTACTACGGGTACATGGGGATGGGGATGGGGATGGGGGACCGGAAACCGGAATCTGGGATCCGAATGCAAATGCTGCTCTTGAATCGATAAAACGGCGGATGAGGCGGGGGCCCCGGCCTGCACTTTCCCCCAATGGGCATTTAATGAGCTGTGAACGCACTCGCAAAGCGCCTGCATTTGGCGTCCCGCCCAAGGCCCAACAACAAAAGAGCCGATGTGACGACAACTCGACCGACAACAAAGTCGGCAACAACTCCACTCATTTGCACATAAATTATGCGCACTCTTAGTCACGTATACGCCCCGTGAGCCAGGCCATCGGGTATATTGGCACAGCAAGAGAAAAGACCGGAAAACATAGTTTTAATTGTTTGTCAGGTTACATTTTGTCACCAGACTTGAGTATGGTATTCAAATGTAGCTTATAAGCGAGTTCTTTCAATGCCAGCATCCGGCTCGAAGGACCAATTAGACATAAAAGGTCTGAATACATTCAGTAGGTATCTCAAATGTACTTCATAAACGAGGGTTTCAAATAATATTATCCGGACCACTTGGCATTATGACTCCATTTATGGCATTACAATGTACCTAATAAGAGAGTTTTTCAAATAAGTTTATCCGGCTCGAAGGACCAATTAGACAAAAAGGTACTATAAGTCCATTTCGATGGATGTACTTTGCAAACGAGGTTTTCAATTAATATTATCTGGCTCGATGGACCACAAGACTTCATTTAAATGCTATGGCATTAGAATAAACCTCATAAACGAGTTTTTCAAATAAATGTATCCGGCTCGAAGGACCACATACAAAAATGCACAAAAAAAAGTATATTTCTTGGATATCAAGTATCTAGGGCCTAGTATGCTTGTTTCAAGCATTTCAAAGATAAGAAGTGTAGCTATCGTTCTTAAAATACATTTATAGCCCTCCTTAAAAGGTATCCCGCCAGTCGAGTGCCATTAACAGGGTCCACTCCACTTTCGGTCCACTCTCATTGTTGGCACCGACAATTGTCACACCTTTTTATGGCCAGGCTCGCATTAATAGCTAATGAAGGAACATCAACGGCCCGGCCACATGGCAGAGGCAATAAAGGAGTCCGCAGGACGAAGGACAATTGGCCGCCATCAAATGCCAGACAATTTGCTATTGTCGCTCCCTTTTTTGTGACCATAAATTGACGTCGTCTCGTTTTGTGAAGAGACTTTCCACTACGGCTTTTCCTGGCATTTTCTATTCGGCATCGTGTTTCCCCACAATTAAATTGTCAGTTTTTGCCACGTTTAAAACGGAAAAACTTGTTCACATGAAATTTCAACTTTAGCCCTTGGCAGCTCCTGTAATTGCGAATTGGCTTGATGTTTGCGCAAAAGCTTGATTAATTTTATTAAGGGAATTAATGAAATATGCCCAATATTTGCTGGCGGATAAGCAAGCAAATTAATTATGATGCGGTTCTGTGTTTAACAGTTAATTAATGTTTTATTTAGCAGGTCATGGAAAAACAGCGATTTATGTTGATTTTGTGCCAGCAGATTTTGTTTTTATGTAATTCAATAATTAATTGCTGTCATCAAAAAGGTATTTTTGCTATACAAATAGGTAAAAAGTAATAAGTTATCAAAAAAAGAATATAAAATGCAACAAAAAGCTTTCATGTTATAGAACCTAATGAAATTGCATATAAGTTATGGCCCCTATTATGTACTTACTAAAAGATTAATTTCATTACGTCAGTCATAAAGTTGAGGAAGGTCGAAAATCGAGTTTAAGTTGAGTGATTTAATGACCCCATATAAAAGTGGAAAATCACATAGAGCTCCAAACTTTTTGATGGCTCGTCAACGGAAACCAAGTCCGACGGCACTTTCCAAGACATAAAGTGGATTTATCAACCCAGAAATAAAATGAATGTGAATGCGGCCATAAAAAGTGCAGCAGCGATATCTGGTTTCGGCCAAAAGTTTCTCTACATGGCGAAGCGAATTTGTTGTTCTGCAGCCCGGGCAACTAATTTCAATTAGCACTTTCGCCCCCCACACGACGGGAAATCCTATTTTGCGCTTTCATTTGCCATTTTCCATTTCCACATTTCCCCGGCCAAGTGCATATCAATTTTTAATTCAATTTCAGCACAAGCAATGCCATTGATTGCGAGTGTAAGCCACTTCGGGGACTACGGCCGGAATCGAATTTGCAAAATGCTAGAGGGAAAACGAACGGGCAAAACCAGAACAAGACCCACAAGACCATATCCAAATGCACAGCCCGAAGTCCTTCGATAAGAAATCCGAGTCCTGGCTAAGTGGAAGTCGAGTGGGGGCAGGGGATTATGTGGGGAGGACAAATGGGGGCGGCACTTTCTGCCCCACATGCAAAACGCATTTAAATTGTTTGGCACTTTCGCAAGGTCACTTGCCCCAAGGGAATCAAGAAGGAATATTAATTTAAGAATACATCAAAATAGGTATACTCAAAAATATATAAGCAAACTAAAGGGCCGAAGGACTTTAGCTTCCAGCGTTCCATCTTCAACAAATATTAATTTTTGTTTTGTATACTAGCTTTTGTTAAGTAAATACATATTTTAAGGGAATACCGAACACCTAATCAAGGAAAAATATTCATTTAAAAATATATAAAAATAGGTATACAACTAAATATTTAACCAAACTAAAATATATTTTTAGAACATAACAAATCAAGAAAAAATATTCATTCAAAAATATATAAATAAGAGGTATGCACCTAAATATATTACCAAACTAAAACACATTTTAAGGGAATACCAAACATGATATTGAAGAAATTCGTATAGTAAATCAATAATATAGGGTTAAAAATAATTGATAATATGCCCATCTATATAAATGATTCCCAACGCTTTCCTTGACAAACCTCCAAATATTTCCCCCATATTCACTTTTTGTAAATACTCAATGTCAGACCATTAGTTTAATTAAAGCGAATGGAGTCCGAAAAAAGGCGTAGTCTAATGCAATTAACCAATTAAAGGGAAAATGGGGAAATGTAAAAATGTGAAAGATGAAATGGGAAAAGAGAGTGAAAAGCTAACCAAATATTTGTGTAATGGTATTTATGTATACCTTATTGATATGGGCAGAATAACTAGCTCTCTGCCTATTTATACATTTAAACGAGCTGCCCAGAATAATAGCACTTATAATAAAAGCTATGCAGAGGGATAAACTGGGGGTAAATATTAAATATCTGATAAAATCTATACAAAATAAAAATAATCCTTTTTTTTTCTGATATATATATTTAATTAATATAATAATATATTATATAAACACAAAATGAAAAAATACTTATACTACATATAAATATTTGAATTATGGAGTATGAATTTAAATACTACTTTAAATTCCTTACACTTATCTATGCATTCAATGCTAGTTAAGATTGTATTTTTATATTTACAGGAACTGGTGATTATTTATTGATTCCAATTTTAATACACCTCATTAAATTACAAAGTCAATATTAACTGATAATTTTTTGAAATTCGACAGGAACTGGTGGCCATTTCTCCGGAACGCCGCAACTGGCGCGGCATCTTCATCGCCCTACTGGTCATCGCCGCCGTCTTCAGCCTGATCATATTCTCGATCTTCCTGCTGTCGCCGGAGGACGAGGGCCTGAGGATCCGGGGTCGCCGGATGCTGCCCAGCGATATCCTGGGCAGGAGCCTCCAGTGGAAGCCCTTCAACGGCACCTGGAGCAATGGTGAGGCTAATGGTCCACCATATATGTTTAATCCATTTACTCAAGGTACTTCCTCTGCAGGTCGTGAGCTCATCTATCGCGATCCCACGGGTGGCCTCTCCATTCTCAACATGGCCGATCTCACCACACGCATTCTTATGACCAATTCAACATTTGTAAGTTTGCTTTAAGATATATAATATAATAATACACATATAATACCATTTATAATTTTTATTAAATTCATTATCCAGCGCCAATTGAATGCAGAATCGTTTCTAGTGGCTCCTGACCAGAAATACGTGCTCCTCCAGTCGGACTCCAATGCCGAGGGCTCCAGGTGTGTAAGCTAGTACATCCTTAAGAGCTACAAACTTTATAAAAACTTACAGTTTAGTTTAATATTCAAACTAAAAAATAATCTATAAGTTTTTAAATTAGCTATTAGACCATAATATAATATAATATAATATAATATAATATAATATAATATAATATAATATAATATAATACAATACAATATAACTGTATATAACATAATATAATATATTATAATATAATAAAATATCATGCGCGGATCCACGAGGGGAGATAAAGGGAATAAATCCCCACACTCGGGTACAAAAGTATATGTAATATGTATTTTATTCAAATTGTTTTTTAATTTCTACTCCAAAATTTTTTTTTATTTCGCTCCAACCAAATTATGGATCCCCCACTGTATAATATCATATAATATAATATTATAATATAATATTATAATATACAATAATATTATAATATAATATAAAATAATAGGTATATAACAATATATAATATAATTATTTTAATTAAATATTTCATTTGTGTTCCTTATCATAAAAAGAGTTCGTTAATATTCCTTACTTGCTCAATATTGCCTGTTTATAATTAATTTATAAATCACTTTATGGTAAAATAATGACTATAAGCTTAGTTAAATAGTAATGATACATTTATTAGTTGCCATTGAAGCACGAATTAAATCAAATTTAATTATTTTCCGCCTCTCTATCGAACAGACATCACGTATACGAGGTGCAGACGGCCAACACATTCCCGCTGGGACCAACGGAGAATATAGCGGAGGCCCCACGCCTCCAGCACGTGGTGTGGGCGCCGGCGAATCCGCCACCACCGCTTGGAGCACCACCACCCAGTGGTTCCAGTACCACCACAATGGCCCCACTGCCCAGCGGCAGCATAATCCTGAACAGCCTGGCTGGGGCGGCCAATGGTCCAGTTGCCACGGGATCCTCCGGCTCCGCTGGCCCAAATCCCAATGGCAAACCAGGTGGCTATTCCCTGAACCAAGCCATCGCCTTTGTGCACCACAACGACATCTACTACAAGCCCAAGGTGCAGGGCGAACTCGTCTGCCGGATAACGCAGTCGGGCTCCGGATCGCCGGAGGGGGAATCATCTGGGGTGGTCTTCAATGGAGTTCCCGATTGGACATACGAAAATGTGCCGGAGCTGGAGAGCCGGAGGAGCAGCATGCAGTTCTCGCCTGACGGACTCTACTTGGCCTTCCTCAGTTACAATGACAGCGAGGTCAACGAGTACAAGTGAGTAAAAACGAGAATTCTTTAGCATCTCTTTAAAATTAAAAACATGACAGGGAGGTCAACAAGTAAAAGGTGGGGAAAACGCGAATTCTTTAGCATATCTTTTCATTCGATCCATTCCATTATTACAATTGAAAACATGATAGCAAGATCAAGAATTACAAGTGAATAAGAACGCGAATTCTTTAGCAACTCTTGCAATTTGCTTGTTAAAATTGATATAATGATAGTAAGGTTAACGACTACAAGGTAGTGAAAACGCGTATTCTTTAGCATATTTTGTCATTTGCATATTAAAAGTGAAAATATGACGGCGAGGTCAACGAGTAAAACTGACTGAAACGCGAATTCTTTAGCAGCTTTTGCCTTTGGCATGTTCAAACTCAAAAGCAAAGAGGGGACCGCAAATTCTTTAGCAGAAATAAGTTTACAAAACTAAGTAAGATCTTATTATGTATGACACTTTTGTTATTTTTCAGATACACCTGGATGGGCGATGATATCAAGTATCCGGCGGTGATGAGTCAGCGCTATCCGAAGACTGGTTCCCAGAATCCGAATGTGACGGTGAACGTGGTGAATCTGTCGGTGATCAAGTACATATTTCCCACTCAAATCAAGCTGCCCAGTGAGCTGTCCAATGGGAGCTACGTGGGCGGCTTGACCTGGGCCTCGCCCAGTGACCTCTCGGTGACGGTGACCAACCGGGAGCAGACCAAGGCCACCACGGTCCTCTGCCGTGCCCCGCACTTCCATTGCCAGGCGGTGCACACGGAGGTGACCATCAACGATGGCTGGGTCCTGCCATCGGAGCGACCCATCTTCTCGGCCCGCAACCAGATGCACAAGCAGTTGGCCAAGCTGCTCCCGAATTCGGAGGAAGTTCACCCGGAGATTCATAATGTGAGTGCCACGGAGGAGGGCCAGATGCATACAACACATGAGATCAGCAATGGTGGATATCTGCTGAAGCGCCTGCCCGTGCGGGATGGCGAGCATGGGCACTATCGCCATGTGGTCTTCATATCCTCCCTGGACCGCAGACCCGTTCCCCTGACCATGGGCCGGTTCGAGGTCACCGAAATCGTGGGCTGGGATGAGCCACACGAGATTGTCTACTTCATGGCCGCGCCGGAGAAAAGACCTGGCGAACGGCATCTGTACAAGATCAATCTGAAGCTCAATGTCACGGAATCGAATAGGACATACATAACCTCCTCATCGCCCACCTGTCTCACATGCGACAATACGGAGTCCACGTACCGCCTCCACAGGGCCAGAATCTCGCAGAGGGGCGATCGTTGGGAGGATATTGTGGCTCGCTTGGAACCGGATGACTGCCTCTATGATATACCCAAGAATTGCCTGTACAATCGGGTGCAGTTCAGCCAGGACTACAGCTACTATGTGCAGGAGTGTTTGGGCCCGGAGGCGCCGAGTGTTTACCTGGTGGAGACGGCCAGCAATGATAAGATCTATGTCCTAAATGCAGGCGACGTACTGCGTCATCGGCTGTCCCAGCTGGCCATTCCCCAGTCGCGCACCTTTAGCGTGGAGATACGACATGGATTCCATGCCCAGGTGCGACTCTTCCTGCCGCCCGGAATGCGCGAGGAGGAGGACGTGGCCTTTCCACTGGTTCTCCATGTGTAAGTGATTATTTCTCTCTGAAGCCAAGGTCCTTATTAATATGTAACCTCTTTTTGAATCCTCAGCGATGCCTCGCCGGGATCACAGTTGGTAACAGAACGCTTCCATGTGGACTGGAACTGGTATTTGGCCAGCCAGCGCAGCTTCATTGTGGCCCAAATCGATGGGCGTGGCAGTGGCTTCCAGGGTGAACTACTCCGCACCCAGGTGCATGGCAAACTGGGCACCGTCGAGGTGGAGGATCAACTGGGAGTCCTCACGTAAGTTTAAAATCAGTTGGTATATAAGATATATGTACATTTAATGCCGTGTATTCTATAGATACTTGCGGGACAACCTGAAGTTCATCGATCCCCTGAGGATCTGCGCCTTTGGCTGGGGCTACGGGGGATACGCCTCCTCCATGATGCTCATCGACGACTCCCAGCAGGTGCTGCAGTGCGCGGTGGCCATCAACCCCATTGTCAACTTTGGATTTCACTGTGAGTTATATGGTTAAGCAAACTGAAATTTGATATAGACCTTACTAATGGGCATCCCCTCGATTCCAGACTCCTTCTTCACGGAGCGCTACATCCCGCTGAAGGGCGACTACCTGCGGGCCCTCCAGGAGGCGGACCTCACGATGAAGGCGGGCAACATCAAGGGTCGCAACCTGATGCTGATGCACGGCACCGCCGACACCCTGGTGCACCAGGAGCACACCCTGATGCTGGTCCGTGCCCTGGTGGAGCAGCAGGTGAAGTTCCGGCACCAGGTGTATCCGGATGAGGACCATGCCATTGCCAGGTCGCTGAGCCATGTCTACAAGACGATGGAATGGTACTTCGACGAGTGCTTCGGACCCGTCGACGACAACGAGTGGGACCCCACGGGTCTGTTCGTGTTCAAGCAATAATTAAGACCCCCCTACGATCCTTACGACGAGGATCCGCTGGCCAACCAGCTCAGCGACATCGATGGCATCGGCCTAGCCAGCGGTTCGAATCCGGATGCGGATGCAGATCCGTCCGGCGATAGCGCCGGCAGCAACCTGTCCACCCTGCTGACCGCCACCACGACGACCGCCTCGCTGTCGGCGCTCGACGAACTGGACAACCGGCTGCAGTCCCTGGACCTGATCACCTCCTCCACGGCCACCACCCTCAGCAAGGTCGCCGGCAAGCTGTGCAACTACAGCAGCAAGCGGCGGCTCCACCAGTCGGAGGCCGTGCTCGCCCAGAAGTCGCGCATCCTCCAGCACTAGAGGACCCTCCTCCTCCTCCTCCTCCAGGAATGGGAATGGGTATCCTCCGTGCGTCCAGCGTGTGTGTGTCCGAGTGTCCCCGTCCCCGGCGGGCAGATCCATCCTCTTCTCACTTTCGACGGGAGTTTGCGGAAGCCTTGTACACTTTGTTTATATTTTTAAATCCAACATATTCCCTACGAATTAAGTATATTTCCATTTTTTTCAGTGCTGCCAATCTGAAAAAATATTTTTTTTTAATTTAAGTTCTACTCAAAATTGTTATAACAATTTAAAAAGCATTAAGTACCCTTGGTATACTTTTTAAACATGATAATATAACTTAGGTCCATTAATTTGATTGAGTTCATCATACTTTAATACTTAAATAATTTTAATATTATTTTTAATATTATCTAATATTTTAAAAGGAGTTTGCGCAAGGGCTTTCCACATGAAACATATACAAATAAGATATATTAGAAGCCTTCAACCAATTCCATACAAATTAAGGGTATTTCAATTTATTTTGTTCAGTGCAGCCAATCTGAAATTTTATTTGTAATTTAAGTTCTCAGATTTATTAAATTAAAAATTTTAAAAGCGATAAGTAGGATTGGTATATTTTTTAAACATGATGACATAAATTAAATCCATTAATTTCATTGAGTTCATTATATTTTAACCTTAAATAATTTAAATATTTTTTATAATATTATTTAATATTTCAAAAGCAGAATGCGCAATTGTTTTCCACATAAAACATATACAAACAAGATACATTAGAATTAATAATTTAGAACTCCATAAATGGTTCCATAAGATTCAATTTTTTTTTAATGAATATTATTGAATTTAAGAAGATATAAATTTATGCTAGTTAACATTTGCAAATTATTTATGAAAGTTGAAATAAGGATATGTGCATTGTTTACTTTAATTATAATTAAGCTTTATTTCATGTAATTTTAAGTTCCGCAAATTTTTAACGAAAGTGAAAACATGATAAAAATAAGGATAGGGATATTTATTAATTTATTTAAAATTAATTTTATTTCAAGTAATTTTAAGTTCCGCAAATTTTTTAACGAAAGTGAAAACATGATATGTTCTGTTAGTGTGCAAGTGTTGATTCTCCCAAGGCATTTATATTTATGTATTCTGTTTTTTGAGACCAGTAAAAGGTGAAAACTTTTACTGACATGGTATCTGCCAAAAAATAAGTAGTTTAAAAGACCTAAGATGGTAAAAGAAAAAAATGTACTCATTGAAAAATCTCAGTAATGAAAATAGGCAAGATTACGTGTTTAAAATAATTAATGATATTTTTGTTAGAATTGAGGAATTTATTCAAAATGATTCTGCATTTTTGAACATTTTTGGGATATAAATTTGTTAATTAATTAATAAGAGCCAGGATCAAAATGATTTATATTGGTTTAAAGTCGTTCATATGATTTATATATTTTATATTTATATTACAATTTTCTTTGAGATTTATTTTAAGGAAAGATTTTTAAAGAAACGCTTTAATAAGGAACTTTTATTATCGGTTCTTGTAGATCACTATAGTCACTATAAGTGGCTGTGGGTTGTTCGTTACAAACAAAACCTAAAGTTAAACCTTATATCATTATGTCCTTTCAACTCCCTGATTTGCCGGCGGAAATCGCGTGTGAATGATTATCGAGAAAACAGAGGAATTAGGAAACAAAACCAAAGCAAGGTGATTCATTTATGCGACTGATTATTAACATATGTGTATTAAATAATTAACCAAACTGATGGTGCGAGGGGGGTGACGAGGCGGTGGAGAGTCGATGTCCTTGAGGTAAGGATAAAAAAGTAGGGGATTTACCAAATTGCTAAGGGCAATTGCCAACCAAATACAGAGCGATATGTGTGTGTGTGTCATGTGTGTAATTTGTTTAGGCCTCATTGTTGTTTCTTTACGTGTTCGTTTCGATGTGTATAAACATATATAGTTATAATTGACTGAACGTTATTTTTTTTGTATATATTAACGATTAAATTTTAAACGAAACAATTAATTCATGTCCAAGAAATAAAGGAGGAGGGTGTATCTTTTAAATAGCCAACCACCAGTTTGCGAGTAGTTCGTATAATCGAGCAGAGAAACCGAAAACCACAGCTTATGGCCCCTTGAATGTTTGTGATAGTCGAGAGTAGGCGACTATAAAATACCCTGTACTCCAATCGAATCGCTTAGATAGTTACCGAACCCGAATCTCCTTCTCGACCGACTTTCGGTGTGGAAAAAGCTTTAAACTTCATATCCATTCGACGTTTAATGCTATGGATACAGGGTATTTCCAGGTGTCTAGCATCCAAAACAGACCTAATTTTAAAACTAAATTGTAAATTGAGAGTGGATGGAGATGAGATTGTGCCACACTAAAGACAAGTCCCAGGCTTGCCCAGTCCCCTAAATCGATCGAATTGGATCTGAAATATATATATTATATGATATATAGATGGGGGAATGCATAGGTGTGCTTAAGCGAGAACCAAAAAAAATGGCAAAACATTTTTTTTTAGATTTTTTTACCATTAACATTAACGGAACGAAGCGAATTCCATATATGAAATGGGATTAAGTTGTCAAAATGCCTAGATGTTAAATGTTGCGTCAATAAGCGAAATTTTATTGTAGCGGGGCCGACGAGGGCCCCCGACTTCCGGAACCCAACAACTAAAGCTAAGAAACCCAAATAAACCAATATAGTCAAGCTTTAAATGTTGTACACAAAAGAAAAGGGGTCGCAACCACATAAAAACCCAAGTTAACTAAACCAAAACAAAACAAAACCAAAAAAACTAATGAGAATACAAAGAGTATGCCCAAAAACAGACCCGAGAATAAATAAATGTTAAACTTAACTAAACGATAAATGCATATTTATAAATGTTTAAAACAAGAATTCTATAATAAACTAAAGGAAAACTATATATGTAATTGTGCTAAGGCAGAATTTAATGTATTCCAAGCTACCGAAGCGAAAAAGAAACCATTAACTACGTGGAACCAAACAATGTAAACGCAAAGCTAACAACAAATACAAAATACAAAACACAACTCATTTCCCCAAAGTACAAAGGAAACGAAGGAAAACCTATTTTTCAGTTGAGCCCAAAAGCCACACCATCTAAAAAAAAAGACCAAAAGCTGGACAGTATTTAACGAAGTGATTTGGTTTCAAGACAACATCTCAGCATAAAGTATTCAAGCCGAAACCGAACCGAATCCAAATAGATTTAGAGAAACGTATGCAGAACAGAACTATGTATTTCCAACAACCAGACACAAGTATACCAACAAAGAGATCCAAAGCAACTAAAAAACGAACAAAACGAAACAATAAAGACATTTTTGTGTGTATGCAAAATAAAAAAGAATAAAATGTTTTTAAGTTGGAATGTTTTCGGGGGTTCTTAAAAAAGGAGAGAATTTTAAAAAAAGTTAATTTTTTTATATCCATACGCAAAAAAAATTTAATCTGAATTGAAAAAAACTGTTTCTGAGTCAATACAAATCTATTTCACAGTGACATTATTGAAAAACTTTCTAAAAAAAAATTGCAATAAAATATTTTCTCAGAATTCGCTCCAGAAATCAAGGGTTGAATGGACTTCCTCAAACCCCACTTAACTTACATGCTTAATAATACACAACATAGATATCAGGAACACTAAAAGTAAAGCTCATTATAAAAATTAAAATCGCTGGAATTTTTATTTTTTTATTTTAAAAGTGTTCCTGGAATTAGCCAAATATTAACTGCACTAAAATGTAGAAGTGTTTTCAATCCAGTTTCCTTAATTCTAAAAAGAAAAGGTTGATATTATTTCTTGTGTAAAGCTTTAAATTGAGATAACTTTACCAAAGTGTCCTCTCAATTGGTTTGCGATGACATTTATGCAGATCGTTGGGCGCCAAGTCTTTGTTCATCCTTTTCTCTAGTTGCTAGAGAATGGAAAAAGTTGACCGTTCAGGAAAAGGAACAATTTAAGAATATGGTAATATATGGAAATATCTTAATTATGGAAAATATGTAGCAATTATTAACATACGTGTGTTAGAGTCTAGCTCCAAAACGTATCAAGTCCTGTGGGGAAATTCCGCAAAATCGCTTTTTGTATGTTAATAAGTACTAACTATTTTTCATAATTAAGATATTTCTTACTTACCATGTTTTTGAAACGATCCTTTTCTTGGAGGGGCAAGTTGTTCCATTCTCTAGCTCCGAAACGAATCACGTTCTGTGGGGAAATTCCGCAAAATCTTTTTTGTAATCGTTTAGGAAGTTGAGGTAGCCATTGATTGTAATATTCGCTTCTTTCTGGAACTTGTGAATTGGTTTACATGTTGCCATTCCGCTCTTTTTTCCGTCCATATTTTTTTTTTTTTTTTTTGTAAAACTAAAATTTTGTTCTCCTTACACGACACTTTTCAATTGAATACTAATACGTATACTGATTCTGATTAAGAAGCTGTTCTCCCAGCTACCATGATGTTTTTTTATTTATTTAAAATTTGGAAGTCAAATCTCATACCTTAAAGAGTACAGTGAAAATGTTTATAACTTACTTTTCCGCCCTTAAAAATCAATGTTTTGGCTGCCACTATGCAAAAAATGATCGGAATCAGGAATGTAATAACTCGTTGAGCTCGTTGTTTAATTTCCAATCCATTGGCAATTAAACCTACAAATATTTGATTGTTTTTAAAAAATGCGAAAATGGGTCAAAAAATAAATGTTCCTTAAAATGATGGGGATCTATAGCATTTATAGCAAGCTGCTCAAAACAGTCGGTCTTTTAGCTGTACACCTTGATTTGACTAAACCACGACTGAAAAACCACATTTACATGGAAATTTAAAACATACCTTAATTTGAACAATTATGGGTACAAGTACCCGCTCTTAGTGGTAACATCTTACTGCCATAATATATTATCGATTATCCTTAAGTTTTATGGTATCAGTTTGCCATTATGGATGTTAAAAGCCGTTAGTGATGTGAAAACATCGATGATCACAGTATGATCAGCGCTAAGATCGGTGTTTTTCCAGCCTTAATTCAAATCTGCTTAAAAACGGTCACCTTAAACATACCGACGGCTATCCCAGAACTCAACCCAAGGGTTGGGTCTTGAGTATAATTGGAGAATTATATTTAGGACACAAATCTTATTATCGATATTAAGCGATGGCTCGAACCATTTGTACGTAGTTATTTAAAAAGCCCGCGTAAATTTTAAAATAACACGAATAGATAGTCGCCGAAAAATTGGCGGCGTTTTTACTTTCGGGTCGGACTTCTCACACTATAAATTAAAAATATCAAAAACATGTTTTAAAAAAATAGCGATATTCGATATATAAGGTGAACAAATATCACGATATAAATATATATTTTTATTCAAAAAATACCGATATATTGACGTTTTCATGTATTTTTCACATCTCTAACTTGAGGCATGTGGGTTTTTTTGTTTTACTGACACTAACGTGGCTCTTACGTTTGCTGACACTTACGTATTTTGGCACTTACGTGACAGCTGCGCAAAAAAAAAACGAATAGTGCAAAAATATCACGATATAAATATTCATTTTTATTCAATAACTACGATGTGTTGATATTTGATGTATTTTTCACATTTTACTTAGAGAAAAGTGGGATTTATTGGTTTTACTGGCACTTACGTGGATCGTACGTTTGCTGATATTTACGTTTTCTGGCACTGACGTGACAGCGGCGCAAAAACATCGATATATCGGTGAAAAAATACCGCGATATAAATATTTATTTTTACCCAAAAGTAACGATGTATTGTATTTTGATGTACTTTGCACATCCCTAGTCAAAGTGGGGACTTACGAAATTTGTAAAATAGCATAGCAGACAAGTTTTTTCGCTCTGCCAGTATAAATAGATAGATATAAACAACAACACGAGTGTAAATTACTAGTGAATTCCCCAAGAGCCATACGGTAAAGCGAAAAGTACGTGCGAATATTTGCGAAGGCAAAACGAAAGCGAAACGCAGTTAAGCGAATGTGAATGTGTGTGTGTGCGTGTGTGTGTGGATTTTCGGAAAGTGAAAAATAAGAAAAAGAAGAGCGATTTTGAATTCGAAGTGCCATGCACACAAAAACACAACAACAAAAAGGCGTAGATAATAAACGATTATTATAAAAATAAAACCGAAAAAGTGAATGTGTGTGGGTGTCTGTGTGTGTGGGTGTTTGTTTTTTTTTTTTTCGTTTTTTGTCATGCGCTCTCTCTCTTTTTTGTTTTTGTTTTGCTGCCAAAACTAAAAGCAAAAACAATCACACATGGCGGATACACAGGAAAAACGGCAAAGCAACTGTTGCAAACTGCGCCTTGCTTTCTGTTTCAATTTCCTTGCTTCGACTGTCAGTTTTGTGAATTTTACACAATAGTAAACATAAATTATTGAATAAGTGTGTGCGGGCGTAGTGAGAGCTCCCAAACAAAAGGAAATCGAAATTTCACAACGAAAGAGCAACGGAAAGGAGAGAGCGAGAGCGTTTTGCATTTGCATTATACAAATCTTTTTCTTTTGTCTCCAAATCCTTGCCTTACTCCGTTCTTTGTTTTTGGTTTTTCGTTTCTCTCCCCTTAATTTTTGGTAGCAAAGTTTAGGCAAATAAATATATAAATAAATATAAAGCAACAAGGAGAACAACAACCACACAGGAATAACAAGGACAAGGACACAAAACAAGACACCCACGCGCAGGCCAGAGAGAGACGGCACCACACACACACACACGCAGACAAACTCACTGCAATTGTTTTGTTTCTGTCATCCCAACCAGAAGGAGAAGGAGATAGAGAAGGAGCAGGAGCCAGTGCCAGTGCAGAGTGCAAGTGCGAGCGAGAGCAACGATGGATCGCTACGACATGGAGGACGTCGTGGTGGCGCCCCCTGCCGAGTGCAGTTCGCCGCTCAAGGAGTGGCGCCTCAAGCGCCAGGCAGGCACACTAGCCCGCTCCGATTTCATCGAGTTCTTCAAGCGCGAGTCGCCCAAGTATTTTGATTACCAGACCGGCGGTACGGAGACAGGTGAGTCGTAACCCCTTTCCACCTGTTATTATACTCTACATGTAGGGATAGGAAACTATATCTGCTATCAGAAGCGCCTCATGGCTGCGTTATTGCACTCGGCAAGAAGATATGCTAATGTTTCTAGTGTTTACAGCTGTTTTTTCATCTCTAAAAGGATAACAAACTGTCTTAAATTACTTAAGGAAGTTTGCAATATCAAGTATTAGTCGTATTAGTTCAAAAGTATTTATTTAGAATGTGTTTGATTTTACTTTTCATTTAAAATGATCCGTTTACATATGATATGTTATGTAAAAGCTGGGAGAGTTTGCTTTTCGTTGTGCGTTTTTCAACACTCCTGTATTTCATATTCAAACATTAATCCCTGTTTGGTAGTACTCATATGTACTTCCTTAAAGTTCCCCAACGATTTATAGCAGATTTTTAATCTATGAAAGGATAGTGATGAAATCTCTGAATATTATGTATAGCACAATCAAAAAACAAAATGCCTATTTGGATTTTATACCTTCACTATTGAATTGCTGATTCTTTGAATTTCAGTCATTTGTTTATCAGCTGTTCCCTACAAATTAAGTTATCAGATTTCAACAATTTAACAACCTCGCGTGTCATCTTTTTTCATCAAAAAGACACGGAAACTTTGTAAAATACTAGTATCATTATTGGTTATTTATTTACTCTTAAATATTATTAGTTTTCTTAAACTAACATAAGAAATAAATCTATACGTGATTTTAGCTCCGAAAAATTTGGCAGCTGATCTCAATTGTGTGAAAATTCAGCAGGAAATATTAAGAATGATGAAATTTTCAAACAACTGGAACTATTAGGA